AGGAAACAATCAGCAAAACTAAAAGACAACCTACTGAATGGGCTAAGGTACTTACAAATAATATATCTGATAAAGGGTTATATCCAAAATATATAAAGAACTTATACAACTCAACCTCCAAAAACCAAATAATCTAATTAAAAAGTGGGCAGAAGGCGTGAATAGATATTTCTCCAAAGAAAACATCCAGATGGCCACAGACACATGAAAAGATGCTCAACACCATTCATCCTCAGGGAAATGCAAATCAAAACCACAATGAAATATCACCTCACACCTGTCAGAATGGCTAACATCAACACAATAAACGACTGCTGGCGAGGATGCAGAGAACAAGTAACCCTAAGGCACTGGTGGTGGGAATGCAAAATGGTGCAGTCACTGTGGGAAGCTGTATGGAGATTCTTCAAAAATTAAAAATATAGAATTACCATATGATCCAGTAATTCCTCTACTGGATATTTACTCAAAGAATACAAAAGCAGTACTTTGAAAAGATACATGCATCTCTGTGTTTATTGTGGCATTATTTACAATGGACAAATTATGGAAGCAGCCCAAGTGTCTATTGGTAGATGAATGGAAAAAGGGAAAGTGGAATGTATAGATAATGGACTATCACTCAGCCATAAAAAAGAATGAAATCTTGACCTTTGCAACAACATGGATGGATCTAGAGAGCATACTGTGAAGAAACGGGTCAGAGAAAGACAAATACCATATTATTTTCACTCATATGTGGAATTTAAGAAACAAAATAAATGAACCGGGAAAAAAAAGAGGCAAACCAAAAAACAGACTTTTAAATGTAGAGAAGAGGGATCCCTGGGTGGCGCAGCGGTTTGGCGCCTGCCTTTGGCCCAGGGCGCGATCCTGGAGACCCAGGATTGAATCCCACGTCGGGCTCCCGGTGCATGGAGCCTGCTTCTCCCTCTGCCTGTGTCTCTGCCTCTCTCTCTCTCTCTCTCTCTCTCTCTCTCTGTGACTATCATAAATAAATAAAAATTAAAAAAAATAAATATTAAAAAAATAAAAATAAAAAAATAAATAAATGTAGAGAAGAAACTGTTGGTTACCAGAGGAGAGGTAGGTGGTAAATGGGGAAAGAGGTGAAGGGGATTGAGAGCACATTTATCGTAATGAGCACTGACTAATGTATGGAATCGTTGAATCACTATATTGTATATTTGCAACCAACATAATACTGTATGTTATTATACTGGAATTTTTTTTAAAACCTCTTGTTATTAGAACATTAAAAAATAAAAATGCATTAATCATTCACTTACATGAAGCAATATTTACTGTCTTAGAAGTAGCTTATTAATCTTTAGTCTTTTCCAAGAAACAATTTTGTGTGCAATTGTGTATTTTAAGTGTGTGTGTGAGAAAAAAAATAAAACAAAACTTTGTTTTTATTTTGGGAGGTAAAAGTCAGTCTGGGTAATGTCAGAACTAGGAAAGTCAATTCAACTTGCAAGTATATCTGAGCCCTGAAGCCCCTGACCTGTGTGACCTATGATCTAGAGGACAGCCCCTCGAAGAACTGTATGGCTCGATAATTTTCCAGTGGGAATGTAAAGCCTTGAGAAGCAGATGTGAAGAACATAAAGAAAGAAGTGATGTTTACTGCAGCCGGATTGCTATTATGCAGGGAAACTGAGTTTAGTAGGGTATTCAGAGTACCAAGTGTAAATGCTCATAGAATGGAAGGAAAACTTCAGATAGTAACATAAGACAGTGTTAGGGAAACCAGTATTTTTGCATATGAAACAGAATTTTCAAAATTCTGAGGGATCCTGATTAACCGCTATAGCCAGAACCACTCTAGAATCTTCCCAGCCAACCCCATGATGATAATCAGAGCTCAGGGAGAAAAAAAAAATTCTAAATATCTGTTCATTAATATCTAGGCTGCAACGGGCCTAGAAGGAGAACAGGCCAAGTTGATTGACAGGAATGGGTCAATAATGGAGGTAGGTGGGACGGCGTGGTGCTGTAGGAGAAGAAAGAAGAAGAAAGAAAGAAAGAAAGAAAGAAAGAAAGAAAGAAAGAAAGAAAGAAAGAAAGAAAGAAAGAAGAAGAAAGAAGAAAGAAAGAAGAAAGAAGAAGAAGTAGGAGAAGAAATACAAACGGGGTGAAACCAATGGGTGGGATCTGAGGAGACTTACACATGAGCCATGTGAGACACAAGACCAAACTATGAACTTACCAAGATGGCGGTGGCCATAAACCCAGATACCCCAGGGGTTCTAGGGGACACAAGATCAATTGGGCTAAAATATTTGGGAATGAGCTCGTCACAGTGGATGCATCTTGAGGTTTTGAGAATTGTTAGGACTTTACGAGGCTGAATAAAGAAACTGCTACAAAACAAGTAACATTGAGGCCTCACTAAAAACAACTAGCATCTATAAAAGGCAATAAACTTGCCAAATTAAAAATAAAATATGTAAGGGAGAGTAGAAAAGTACAAAATAGAGTTTTTTTTTTTTTTTTTTTTTTTTTTTTTTTTTTTTTTTTTAGTTTTGTATAGCTCTGCTTCTATGAAGTGTGTCTATTATGCATGCAGTGGGATGCCCCTCAGAGAAAAGAACTTTTTCAAATGCTAAAAAAGTCTTCCAATCTGATGGGTAAGTGTGCATAACTAAGGTAAAAGAAGGTCAGGTCCAATAAAACGTATTTTTAAAGGGAGATTCTGAGATTTGATCTAAATGATAGCTGCATTCCCTGATTAGCCAGACAAGCCCAGTCACGGCGATCATTTGAGGTTGTGGAATGCCTGGCCCTCAAGGTCACCTCACAGTGGATATGTAGGAACTTTGAGGACTGTTAAGGCAACGTTGGTGGTGAATGGTATTAAAATTTAAAAATTTCCATTGAGACTGAGGACAACATTCAGTAAAGCTATGACAAATCTCTTATTTGGATCTTAAGTGTGTTAGAAAATAACACTTTTATTGCATAAAAACCCTAATAAAGTGGCTGAATCTATTATGCTATGCTAAATGGAAGGATAATTACTTAATGAAATTTTAGCTAGGGTTTTTTTTTTTTGTTAGAGTTTTGAAGGAATTAAATATTGAAAATTAAAGTACACTTAGTGAATTCTAATTCCCAAAATTATACCCATCTAAATGGCAAACATATTTAAACTAATACAAATAATTTATGACCCCAACATGATAGTACCATATTCCTGCCTTAGGAACTTCACGTTAAACAGAATTACCAGGAAAAGTAAGGAAGAATTGACACTCTTTTTTTGGGGGGGGGGTGAGAGGTTCTTTTTACATGAATTTTAGTTCTTTTCCTGCCCTTGCTGTTATTTGTTAGTGTACTTTATGAAGGATGAAAAGTAAAGTTTAGGGGCACCTGGGTGGCTCAGTTGGTTGACGGTCTGCCTTCAGCTCAGGTCAGGATCCCGGGGTCCCGGGATTGAGCCCCCCCTTGGGATCCCTGCTCAGCCCCCCATTCTTCTCCCCCCTGTTCATGCTCACTCTCACTCCCTCTGCCACTCTCTAATAAGTACATTCTTTTTTTTTTTAAAGGAAAAGTTTATCTTTCTCATTAGATTCATTCTTTTCCATTGGCAGACCTCATTACCCCCCTCCCTGAGCCCTCACTTCAGCAATGCGTAGATGCGATGCCAGTTTGGTAATCATATTCCGGTGCAGGGGGGTTCTTTTTGTCCATCAACTATCTGTTACCTGTCAAGATTCTTGAATCAGAAAAACTGAAGATCTACTTAAAGCTTTCAAAAATTCGTGCAAGACAAAATGGAATTCAAGGCCAACTGAATGATATAGAAAGTACCACTTTCTACTTCACAAGCCCACAAGGAGGACAGAGTTGTCACACATATGTAAATATCATAACATCACAACACTGAAAGCCAAACCTTCAAGAAGCACATGAGCAGACAGACAATAGTAGACACAGAAATGTAGCTCTTCTCACCTCGCGTTAGATGCACGGACCAAAATATAAGTAGGAAAAGAAGGGATTTAAACAAAGGTATGGACGAAGTTGAATGGGCATAGATCTATAAATGTGTGTAGTAAAAAAAGGAACTCATCCGCGGAACAGTCATGGCGATGGACTACATAGTTAACTCAAAGAAAAAAGTCATTTGGTTTTAAATTTGAAATAGCACAGACTGTGCTCCCAGATGATGAAGTCGAATTGCGGGGAGGCCGCGCTTCTGGGCCGCACAGAGGCCGCATCCACACCTTGCACCTGTCGGTGGGATTCAGGAGTCCCAGGGCTTCTCAAGGCGGGATGTTACGGAGCAAGCTTACGGTTCCCTTAAAACGCAGGAGGGGGGATCCCTGGGTGGCTCCGTGGTTTAGCACCTGCCTTTGGCCCAGGGCGTGACCCTGGAGTCCCAGGATCGAGTCCCGCATCGGGCTCCCTTCATGGAGCCTGCTTCTTCCTCCTCCTGTGTCTCTGCCTCTCTCTCTCTCTCTATGTCTATCATAAATAAAAAACAAAAACAATAAACAAAAACAAAACAAAACAAAAAAAACAGGAGGGCATCAGGGTTACCTGCCGCTGGTCCATGCCCAAGAACCAATCCACTACCTCCAGAGACCGGGTCGTAGCCTGAGCACGTCTGTCTTCTGGCTGCTGCTGCTTTTTCTCAACCCATTTCCCTGTTTGGAAAAATGACCACAGGGAAGGACACAGCGCTTTTTCATCTAGCCCTTGACTGACAATTGCCAAAGCTTGTAAAGGGATGTATTGGAGAAACTTCTGGAACTTCAGTTATCAGTCTCACGGTTGCTAATTCTACCGCTTCAATGACGTGTAGACCAGATGGGGGCTCCCCTAACACAAACCACACGGAGAGGGCGTCTGCCGCCGACAGCGGCGCGGGGAGCTCGAGCTGCGACTGGCAGGGTCCAGGCCGGTCCCGGAGTGGGTCATGGGCGGGGGCAGGTGGGATCGAGGCCGCCAGGGACCACGGCCACAGCGCGGCGGCCACGCACCCGCCTTCCATGCGCCGAGCAGGGCCGCACCCAAGGGACCTGCGTGCCCTTGACGAGCGGTGCGACCGTCCTCAACTAACCCCCTCTCGGCCCTGACGGTCTCCTCCGAGGGTGGTCTGCACCGCCTGCCAAGGGGGACGGGACCTCGGCCCCCGCGACCTAGCGCACCGGCCCCGCGGCCCACGAGCCCTGCCTGCCCCCCCACGACCCAGCGCACCTGCCCCGCGGCCCACGAGCCCTGCCTGCCCCCCCACGACCCAGCGCATCTGCCCCGCGGCCCACGAGCCCTGCCTACTCCCCCCCACAACCCAGAGCACCGGCCCCGCGGCCCACGAGTCCTGCCTGCCCCCCCCACGACCCAGCGCACCTGCCCCCCGGCCCACGAGTCCTGCCTGGCCCCCGACGAGCCAGCGCACCTGCCCCCCCCCACGACCCAGCGCATCGGCCCCATGGCCCACGAACCCTGCCTGCCCCCCCACGACCCAGCGCACCGGCCCCGCGGCCCACGAGCCCTGCCTGCCCCCCCACGACCCAGCGCACCGGCCCCGCGGCCCACGAGCCCTGCCTGCCCCCCCCAAGACCCAGCGCACCCGGCCCCGCGGCCCACGAGCCCTGCCCGCCACCCCCCACGACCCAGCGCACCGGCCCCGCGGCCCGCAAGCCCTGCCCGCCACCCCCCACGACCCAGCGCACCCGGCCCCGCGGCCCACGAGCCCTGCCCGCCACCCCCCACGACCCAGCGCACCGGCCCCGCGGCCCACGAGCCCTGCCTGCCCCCCCACGACCCAGCGCACCGGCCCTGCGGCCCACGAGCCCTGCCTGCCCCTCCCACGACCCAGCGCACCGGCCCCGTGGCCCACGAACCCTGCCTGCCCCCCCACGACCCAGCGCACCTGCTCCGCAGCCCACGAGCCCTGCTTGCCCCCCCACGACCCAGCGCACCGGCCCCGCGGCCCACGAGCCCTGCCCGCCCCCCCCGACGACCCAGCGCACCGGCCCCGCGGCCCACGAGCCCTGCCTGCCCCCACCACGACCCAGCGCACCTGCCCCGCGGCCCACGAGCCCTGCCCCCCCCACGACCCAGCGCACCGGCCCCGCGGCCCACGAGCCCTGCCTGACCCCCCACGACCCAGCGCACCTGCCCCGCGGCCCACGAGCCCTGCCTGCCCCTCCCACGACCCAGCGCACCGGCCCCGCGGCCCACGAGCCCTGCCTGCCCCCCCGACGACCCAGCGCACCGGCCCCGCGGCCCACGAGCCCTGCCTGCCCCCCCGACGACCCAGCGCACCGGCCCCGCGGCCCACGAGCCCTGCCTGCCCCCCCGACGACCCAGCGCACCGGCCCCGCGGCCCACGAGCCCTGCCTGCCCCCCCACGACCCAGCGCACCTGCCCCGCAGCCCACGAGCCCTGCCTGCCCCCCCACGACCCAGCGCACCTGCCCCGCGGCCCACGAGCCCTGCCTGCCCCCCCCCCAAGACCCAGCGCACCGGCCCCGTGGCCCACGAGCCCTGCCTGCCCCCCCGACGACCCAGCGCACCGGCCCCGCGGCCCACAAGCCCTGCCTGCCCCCCCACGACCCAGCGCACCTGCCCCGCGGCCCACGAGCCCTGCCTACTCCCCCCCACAACCCAGAGCACCGGCCCCGCGGCCCACGAGCCCTGCCTGCCCCCCCCACGACCCAGCGCACCTGCCCCGCGGCCCACGAGCCCTGCCTGCCCCCCCACGACCCAGCGCACCGGCCCCGTGGCCCACGAGCCCTGCCTGCCCCCCCACGACCCAGCGCACCCGGCCCCGCGGCCCACGAGCCCTGCCTACTCCCCCCCACGACCCAGCGCACCGGCCCCACGGCCCACGAGCCCTGCCTGCCCCCCCACGACCCAGCGCACCTGCCCCGCGGCCCACGAGCCCTGCCTACTCCCCCCCACGACCCAGCGCACCGGCCCCGCGGCCCGCAAGCCCTGCCCGCCCCCCCCACGACCCAGCGCACCGGCCCCGCGGCCCACGAGCCCTGCCTGCCCCCCCACGACCCAGCGCACCGGCCCCGCGGCCCACGAGCCCTGCCTGCCCCCCCACGACCCAGCGCACCGGCCCCGCGGCCCACGAGCCCTGCCTGCCCCTCCCACGACCCAGCGCACCGGCCCCGTGGCCCACGAACCCTGCCTGCCCCCCCACGACCCAGCGCACCTGCTCCGCAGCCCACGAGCCCTGCTTGCCCACCAACTCCACTCCCCCAAACACACCAGCACCCCCGCAGCCCACAAACCCTGCTTGCCCACCCCTTACCCCAAAGCACACAGGCTCCCCACCGGCCATGAGCTCTGGTTGCCCCCCTAAGCCCCGGCGGCCCCCTGAGGCCCAGGAGGCCTGGTTGCACCCCCTCCTGCGGCCCACAAGCCCTGGTACCCCCCACCCCCGGCCCCCCACGGCCCAGGAGCCCTGGTTACCCACCCCGCGCCCCCGCCCCCCATCGGGTGAGGCCGCAGCCCGCGGTCCTCCTTCCCTTCGCAGCTGTCCGCCAGCGCCAACCCTCCTTATCTTGAGCCTGTGCAATATTTCGTATTCACTTAGGGGGGGCTGACTTCCTTTCATCCTCCCTGCTTCAGTGGATTTTGCAGACCGACTGACAAGCGAGTATCTTGAAAACACTGATGATGTCATTCTCATGCTTGGAAACTTTCAGTGACTTTCAGTTGCCCGGAGTTCAAGTACATTGGTCCGGTTTTCAAGACATTTCTCGATTTGTCTCCTACCATACTCGTATCCAGTCATTTTCTCAAACGTGGTGCTCGTAAAATATTGTGCTTCTCCTGAGGCCTTTCTTCATACAGAAATTTGCCTGGAACGCCCTCCTCCTAGCAACATCCACCTCCTAAATTCTTATTTATCCCACAAGGTCTAGTTAAAATGTTTTCTTCCTTAGAAAGATTTCTCCGATAACCCAAATTAGGAGCAACCTCTCCCTTTTCACAACACTGAAGATTTATATCCATCGTGGTGCATCACAGGCACTAGCCAATTTTTGGTAAACGTGACCTAACTAGCCACTATACCAGGGTCAGGAAACTTCCTGAAAGGCCAGACAGTGAACAGTTAAGTAAATATGGTTTAGGGACCATTCAATCTTTCTCACAACTACTCCTCGCTGCCTTCTTAGTGAGAAAGCAGCCATAGAAAATATGTAAGCAAGTAGGTGTTGCATTTTCCACTGACACTTTATTTATTAAAAAACCCACAAAAAACAAAAACAAACAAACAAACAAACAAAAGAAACGATAAAAGGAACAGTCGGCCAGCCCAAGCCCCGTACTGTGCCGACCCCTGCATTAGGCCGTCAGGTTCTGAAATGCGGAAACCACGCTTTGTCCTGTGAACACCGCTGGTACTGTGACGTCATTTAGTGACTCTCCATGGTCTAGGCCAGGCATTATGCAAGTGCTTTAATGCATGATGTTTATGGTCACTGCAGTGACTTTAAAAAGTACGGATTGTTATATTCCATTCGCAGATAACGGAATTGAGGCGCTTATCACAATTGAAATGACTATTTTCATGTATATAGTTTACTTGCTTTTAGTCGTCTCTCCCTCTAAAGGGATATTCTGCAAAAACAAAGAACGAGCCTATCTCATTTTGCTACTGTGTCTGGCACAGAATAAGACATTCAACAAGTGTTTATCTAATAAATTAATAGTAACCCATTTGTCCAGGGTCACACACACAGTAAATAATGGAACAGGAATTAAAGTTCACATTTTTCTGTTTTCAGCATTCCTTCATTTTGTGCCTGTAAGTATTTCTTGAGAACTTCCCACATGCTGTGGGTCCTGAGCTTGCAGCCACACAAACCTGCCTGTCACCCTGTGTACAGCACAGCCAATCCTCACCCATCTCTGTTCTGAGTACAGGTACACACCGACTTACCAACAACCCTAAACGGCAGGTGCTGGTATGATCTCTAATTTACAGATAAAATTTAGACACAGAAATCTTACGCATCTCACCAAGGTCGAATGTCTCGTAAGTGGTATAATCCAGTACTTTAAAAGTAAAGCACACTCTACCCTACTTCCTTTAATAACTACTTTCTAAATACTGATAAATATTTGCTTTATCTTTATCTCTTTTGTCCTTTTTAAGAGCTTATGTTTTATAATAAGCTGCCTAACAGCAATAAGATCCATGTTTTCTGAGAATGTTCTTCTCTAAAATTTCCTTTTAATTCTGGTCATATAGACCATCTCATTTCCACCTTTTCATTTGCTCAAATTGCTTCTGCAATCTGGAATACCTTCCATTTCCTGTATGTAGCTCCAAACTCTCAAGATAGAGAGATTTTAATAAGTACACATATATTTTTAAGTTTAATAACACCATCTCCTAGACTGTACCTGAATTATGTCAGTAACTAGTTTTCCCAGAATGAATTAGCCTGTGGGTCATACCCCAATATTTGACACATTACATCAATGTCCCACATCACATAAAAATGAGCTAGAAATACAAACAATAGTCTGCATCCAAGTTTTGTCTTTTTGCACATTATTTATCAAGTTTCTCATCGGGGAGACATTAGCCACCGTTCACCTCTCCTTTCGGGTAGTCCTCCATTTCTAGGCTGTGATTTGTTTAAGAGCAGGAGCCGTGATGGATTCATCGCAGTTTTTTTTTTTTTAAGATTTTATTTATTTATTTATGAGAGACACACACGGAGAGAGGCAGGCTCCATGGAGGGAGCCCAATGCGGGACTCGATCCCATGACCCCGGGGTCATGACCTGAGCCGAAGGCAGATGCTCGACCGCTGAGCCACCAGGCGTCCCAGCCATCATAGTGTTTTGTATGAAACAGACAATTGTGAAGTGACTGAGTGAATATGTGGACACGTGACTATGTGAGCACCTACGTTATCTATCTCTACTTAGAACGCATCTTAAATTTACCTCTTAAATACTTCTCAAACCTCTAGTCCTGTCTTTATTCACCACAGCTGCTTTGGTTCAGGCCCCAGAGCCGTCCACCGGCCTCCCTGCATTGCGAGTCCCCTGAGTTTCAGCCTGTCCTCGTCTTTCCTCGAGGCTAGGCCATGCAGGGTAGTCCACAGATCATAGTTCTCAGTGTCTGCCCCCCTCGTACTAGAGAAGAGAGCTGAGGCTCCACCGCAGTGCGTGTTGGACCCTCTTGCCGAGCTCTCCTGACTCAGTCCTCTGCTCACACGGATTCTGTATTCCAGTCACACTGAGTACAGGCCTTGGAAGTCTCTGAAACCTACCGCACCCTTCCACCCACCTCGAACTGGGGACAAGTATTTCCTTCTGTGAAGAATCCTCCCCCTCCCCACCCCTTCTGCGGGATACACTTTTCTTCCAGTGTGGGATTCTTCCTCGATTCCCAAGGCTGAGTATAAATATCACCTACATGACGCAGGCTTTCTCCAGGCCCCAAACTGAAATCAGTGCTCTCTGCTGCTCTCGTAGCCCCTCTCCCTTTTGTCCGAATACCTTTACACTGATTGTAATTAGATTATTTAGCTGCTTTTCCCATTGAACTAGAAGATCTTTGAGGGTGGCAACCTTCAGGCATCTGTAGTCTTATCACAGTGCCTGCCATATGGCTGCCCCCTCCCAAAATCTTGTAACGAATGGTTTAATCAATCATCAATACATCTATACTGACATTAGAGAAGTTGAGCTATAGATAGTGAGCATTCAACAACAAAATTTCCGAACTGTAACATACATAACAATATTTGAGTACAGCATTATTTAAAATCATGATATGTTATATATTCATATCCTTGTACTTCATTTGGAAAGAAAATTTCACACATAGTCATTAAATTGCTTTAGCAATTAATACCTGGCATTTAAAAATGGACAACCTGCCAATTGCATTGTAAGAAGCTCCTAATTATAAAAGGATATATAAAGGAACCTGGATTGATTTTTGATGGCTGCAGTATGAAATTAATTATATAGTTATATTAATTGTACCATAAGTATATTAATTTTCCTAAATGCTATTTAATTTTTGGTTTCTAGTTTTCCTATTTAACTACTGCTAATTGCAAATTTGATGAGTATTTATTTTCGTTTTTGGGGACAATACGAGAAAACTTTCTTTCAAAAGAAAAAGCTACTTTAAAAATTGAAAGCATTCCTATTTCACTAATGAGGCCAGTAGAAAAACATTCTAGTAGATCCTCCCTACCCCATTGTGCACTGCAGAATGTGTGAGGGAAACTGGAAGCCAATATCTGCTTTTACCACCCAAAGCAAAAAAATTTTCTGGTTTAATTTATTGCCCAAGTCACTGGAATTTGAGGCAACTCTAGGTTGTTTAGTGGGACATTTGACCAGAAAATCTTAGGAGACTATCATATCATCAGTCTTCCCAGAGGCAAAAGTTTGACATAAGGGGTGAATAAAAAATGTCATTATACTAATCTTGGCAAAGACATTTTTTTCTCAAATGGCTCCAGGACCTGTTATGAGTCCAAAATGCCTCTGCCTTAGATAGTGGTGTTTGGGTTCATGTTGTTAACCGAATCAGTTTCCTAGGGAAAAAAAAAAAAAAGATGTCTAAGCAAGATGAAGAAAATGCAGTCATGCCAATAAATAAAGTAGAAAGGAATAGTCACGTGAGGCACATTTTCCTAACAACTGGCAAGTGTTCTCTGGCAAAATAATTTTTAGAGCTAGGACAGAATTCAGTAGAAGAAACTGGTTGAATGAATGAATATTACAACTCATGGTGTAAACATCTCTTGAAATAAAGCATTCTTTTTTAAAAAGGAGGAGGAGGACTCCTACTTGGAGAAGTTTTGGATAAATTTTGCCATCCTAAAATTGGGTATTTAGGACTGCAGAGTTATATCCAATAAATGCCAATTCATCTTTATAGTAGTCCCCAGTGAAGCTTTTCACAACTTTTAACTTAAATGCTCATAAAGAATAAGAAGAGAAAGAAAAGAAAAAAAAGAAGGCAGAGGAGGAAGAGGAGGAGGAGGGGAAACCAGCAGCATTACAAGAAAGAAGAATGACTCTGATTTCAACAACCAATTGATGGTCAAAGGTATTTTATCTCATAAGGGAAAGCCATTCTCTCTGCTTAAAATAATATTGGAAACTGATGTATTGCTCTGCCACAATCTACTCCTTTGATAAGAGAATCAAGGTATTTATAAACCATCAACATTTTACAGGCCCCTTTCCACTTTGGAAAGGCCATTAGGTCCATGAAAACCAAATGTGTTTATTTTAGTTCACCATTGCATTGACAATAAGTAGAACAATACCTGGTACTCAGTTTTGTATGTAATAACTACATTTGAAATGA